TCTTTCATTGCAATCAGATATTTAGAATACATAGAACTGTAAGATTGGATGTTTTCTCTTCAAGAACCAAGGTGATCCTTCTAGATATTTTCTCACATGAGAGGATTGAAAGTATGGAACAGAGCTGTTCCAAGTTTCAGGATGAAAAAATATAAATATATACACATGTTCACACAACACATGCAATTTGTAACTTGGAGAGAGATATGATTTATAAAACAGGGAGCTTCTAATCTCTGCCTGAGATCCCTGTTCAGCAGTAACAGAGCCTTGGGTAGTTGGCCTCTGGCCAAGTCAATGCATGACTAACCTGCTTTTCTGACTCAAACTCATCTCCCTAGCTAGGAATTCAGTGCTAGGAATATATATTTGGACTCATCATATAGATACATATATATACACAGGAAGTGCCAAAAATGAATACATATTTTAAGTATGACATTTGTTCAAAAGTTGGCATCAATTAACCGAATGCTAGCATCACCATGCTACAAGAAGGACTGTCAAAGAAAATGGTGGAAGCACGGTTGAGCAAACATACTATACATTGCTACTGGAATTTAGTTCAACTTTAAAAAGTAATACATAGATGATAGTTCTTAAAATGTGTATACATTTTTGGCACCCCTAAATGTACTAGGGGAGAGCCCTCCCAAAAAACAAAATTTATTTATTAAAAATTGTGTATTTATTCTTACATGTTTAAACTTCAGTCACTTTCAAAGTACTCTTCATTTGATGCAATACACCTATTGAGACACTTTTTCTGCTGCTCTGGTTTTTGAACCCATAAATTTTGATGCCTTTTAGTGCTTCTGCTGTTTTTTGTTTCACCTCTTCCACATCAGCCAAAGTTTTCCTTTAAGGACTTTTTTCATCCAGGGACACAAAAAATTTTGGTCAGGGTGAGACTGGATAAATAGGGAGGGTGGGGCACAGGGGTCATGCCATTTTTGGTAAAGAAACTGCTAAACACTCAGTGCATTGTGGGTAGGGGCACTGGTAAACCATCCATCATGAAATGGTCAAACACACTGAAAGAATCTCCAAAAAAAAAATTCACTAAAGCTGACTCAGCCTCTCATAATAATTCTACCTAGAACACTGATGCTGATGGATTTCTAGAACACTTACCCTGTGGGGAAAGCCTGTATTACAAGGGGCCCACCCTCCAAAAAATAATTCCAGTTTTTTGGGGTCCCCCCTTGTATAAGTATACACAAACACACACACACTGAATTATACACACACACAAATGCTTATCATTGTATACACTTAGCTACAAAATAAGTAATACCTATCTATTTAAAAAATTTCATACAGTAGGTAAGTCAGGGTACAAGTGGTTTTGATTTAATAATGAAGTTGTTGGTGTAAGCAATAGCCATGCTTTAGTAAGTTTCCTTACATGTAGTATTCTAAAATCACTGCTCTAGACGGAATTTTTTTTGGCCCCCAAATCCATATGTTGAAACCTAATCCCCAATGTGATATTCGTGGAGGTGGAGCCTTTGGGAGTTGATTAGGTCATGAGGGTGAAGCCCTCAAGAATGAAATTAATGCAGTTGTAAGGTCCCTGAGAGATACCTTGCTCTTTCTGCCATGTGAGGACACAGCGAGAAGTTGATAGTAGATGCAAAACTGAAATGGGTTTGCTAATTAGTACTGAAATAAATTTATTAATAGATTGGTTAGTTTCTACAGGTACTAAAATGCCATGTTTGAAATCCTCTTTCCTCCAGGGTGAAAATCAATTGCATCTACATACCAAAAAGTTTACATTTCTATGAACAAGAATCATTTGGTTACTATCAGTTTTCTGCAACTTATAAATACCCTGGAGGATCTGCTAGCCATCCCTTAGCATGCCATTGGGAGGGTACTCAGTAATCTTTCACCTATTTCAAAGTGTTCCACCAATTTTCCTGGTAATCTTAAACACAACGTAGGGATGAGCCTATAAGTGTGGTTGTTCTAACCTGTCTGGCACCAAGAGGGTATTCAATCAATAGTGGCTATGACTATGATACAAAGCAGGATGTGTGCTCACTTTTGAGGGCATTCATGAATGTACACCATTATAAGAGAGTCAGTTTGGTAGCAGGTGGCTCCCCTAGAACAGGCTTTGTCACTTAGATGATGGCTTCATAACTTTGGTCTACCTGCCATTACCATTATATATCTGGTTGGGGAAATTGGTCCAGATTTTTCTTGATGGCACAGCAGTCAGCCTAAAAGCCTATGAGAAATATCTAATGTCATGAAATGTTTTTTTCTACATCTATTGAGATGATCATATGACCTTTGTCCTTCATTCTGTTGATTTATTGATTTATATATGTTCAACCATATTTGCATCCTGGGATAATTCTCATTTGATCAGAGCAAATGATCTTTTTAATGTGCTGCTGAATTCAGTTTGCTAGTATTTTGTTGGGAGAGAGAAATACCTAATTTTGCCACTCCATAAATTTCTTCAATAAATTAGTGAATCACCAGCACTATTCTTATTCAGCACTAATATGCAATTCATTGCTTAAAGAATAAAGCTTTTAGTAGCAAGTATGAAAAGCCAGATTATGAGGCAAATTTGCGGCTGCTTGAACAGATATATCCCAGAGGTGCCAATGAACAGTGTCCAACCCAAGGGAGCACTCTAGTGGTATGATCAGTGGCTTGTCCATTGACCTTTCCTGATCAACAGTAATTCTCAAAATTTAAATTGAGATATATCTATAAATATTGCAGCTGACAAATCATAAAAGGATAATATGATGGATGCTCTCTATGTTCAAAATTATTTCTGTTACATATGAAAACCAAAAAGCTGAAATGCAAGAAGGATAAACAGAAGGTTCTGCACTCAGATTCAATAAATCAATTATACAAACACAAGATAGGGGAGGCCATCATGACAGCAGTTCATGCAGAAAGATGAAGCAGGTTGTAGATAATCCAGCTAATGGAAAACTCAGCCTGAACCTAATGTGTGATGCAGCTACTAAAATAGTTCATGTAAATTAAGCTCATTAATAGAAGTAGAGGTAATGTCTGGATCACAAGAGGTAATGGCTGTGTCAGGAAGAACCACAGCTTAAATATGGGGTTCAATTAGGGGTGTTGGATTTTAAAAAGGACATGGATTGATCCAAGAAAATTCAGTCTTGTCTGGATGGTGGTCAGTGTGAAAAGCAATTCATACAAGGAACATCTGAAAAATTGGGGGTGTTGATTTCTGAGAAGAGCATACCAAGTGGTGATGTTCATTTTTTTCAGTGACTTCAGGGGTTTTTGTACGGTACTAAAAGAAGATGAGTTCAGTGTTTTTCCAAAGGGAAGACTCAACACCCAACACAGAAGTGATGGGGAGGTGCATCCCATTTGCCTAATAATTAAAGTTGATTAACACGGTCTTTCTTCTTCTTCTTTCTCTTTTTTATATGTTTTTCTTTCTTCTGTTAGCCACATCTACTCTTTTTATTTATTTATTTTATTTAGTTGGAGTCTCTGTCACCCAGGCTGGAGTGTAGTGACACGCTCACAGCCACTGAAGCCTTGACCTGCTGGGCTCAGGTGATCCTTCTATTCCAGTCTTCCAAGTAGCTGGAACCATCGGCACGTGCCACCACACCTGGCTAATTTTTTTTATTTATTGTAGAAATGAGGGCTCGCTAAGTTGCCTAGGCTGGTCTCGAACCCCTGGACTCAGGCAAACCTCTCTCCTAACAATGTCTTAAGACATGATTTGAAATAGTGAGCTAGCTTTTATTCCTGGAAAAGTCAGGCACAGAACAGATGACCCCTGGAAGGAGTGTTGTAGAAGAGGTCTTTTGTATGGATAAGAGACTGGGTGCTGAACAAGGATCCAGTCCAATTCTAATACTATATGATCGCTGAGTCAAATCAGTGTACTTAAATCAGTGTTGAGGGACTAGCTGATTACTGTGTTTGTTCCAATAGGGTATAAACCAGTGCTTCCCAACTTCATCTCTTTCTCTACCCCCTCTAACTGAAGTGGTCTAGATGAAGTTTATCTGCCTATAGAAATGCTCCTAACTAGAAAGGTCCCTGACAGGGTTAATCAAAGGCCACTAGTCTCATGATTCAAGACTCCCTGAGTATAGGCAGCCATGGACACGTGGCTCATATCCTGGCTGTGTCAGGAAGAACCACAGCTTAAATATGGGGTTCAATTTCTTTTTAGAGTTGAGGTCTTACTATGTTGCCTAGGCTGATCTCAAATTCCTGGGCTCAAGTGATCCTCCTGCCTCAATCACCCAAAGTGCTAGAATTATAGGCATGAGCCACCGTCCCTGGCCTCTAACTGGATCTTGAGCTAAGAAAAAGAAGAAATAAAACTTTTTAAAAGTAACCTGATCATTAAAACAAAGCATGAATCTTTTCCCTTGAAGAGATATGTCCTCTGGAAAAGTCCACAAACAGCAGCAAAAGAGGGTAAGCTTCAAAACAAATGATCAAGATAGCTGTTTGCTTGGTAGAAAATTAAATTAACAGAATAGGCCAGGTGCAGAGGTTCAAGCCTGTAATCCCAGCACTTTGGGAGGCCAAGGTGAGGGGAATGCCTGAGCCCATAGGTTCGAGAACAGCCTGAGCAATTTAGCGAGACCTCATCTCTACTACAATAAATCAAAAAAATTAGCCAGGTGTGGTAGCGCGCACCTGTAGTTCTGGCTACTTGGAAGGCTGAGATGGAAGGATTGTTTGAGTTCAGCAGGTCGACACTGGGGTTGCTGTGAGCATGCCACTGCACTCCAGCCTGGGCGATGAAATAAGACTCCAACTCAAAAAAAAAAAAAAAAAAAGAAAGAAAAGAAAAAAATTAGCAATACACTAGTTTTAGACAGTCCATTTTATACTTTCTTCATTTTGTACCTCTTCTGCCAACTTACAGACATTTGGGGAAGACTAAGTAGCAGGGTATTACAAAAGATCAGTTCACTAAAATACCCATTTTCATTAGCAATGACACCATGCATTACCTTCATGTCCACTGATGGATCACCCTGCAGTAGCGCCCACTCATACTGGATGATGGCATGGTCATCTGTGCTCTCTCGGCCGTCCAAAATCACCCCGTCTGTCGGCAGATGCAAAACCACATCCTGCCCTGCTTTGCTAAGTGGAGGTGCATCCTTCTCTGCAAAAGAAAATAAATCACTCATAAGGCAGATGGCTCCCTATTGTTTCTAATTTATGAAGAAAGCTATCTTGTTTGCTGAATAGATATAGTTCAGCAAACAACTGCTGAAAGATTATATGTTAACTGGAGATTATTTTTCTGTTGATTTTCATCGTGCTTTCTTTACATAATAAACAATAAAATAGTAATTTATTATGAATGTGGGATGAGTTGTAATACATGCAGAGTAGTAAGTGTGGAGTGTTGTCTGGTAGCAGTAGCTACAACAAAGTCGTGGGTAGAAGACAGCACATGAGGGCCCACCCATGTGTTAATCTGGAAGTTCTTTCATTCTCTAGAATATAATTTTTCACTTAATTTGAAAATGACTTAAACTCAAAGTTCTATTAAATAAATTTATCAAGAAAAAAGATTCTTAAAATAAACCTGACAAAAACCAAATTCATCTCTAGCATGTATTTTTGTTTTCTTATCCTCAATTTTTTAGCACAGGAGTGATATAAAGAGTTCAATGGATGGAAAGTATATTAAATAAGACAAGTTCTTGGAGCTATACACATCAAAGCCTGCATAGAAATTCTCTGGAATCTAATTTTTTTAATCTAGGAAAATTGAAGAAGTTCACAGCTTCTAATAATTTTTAAAACAGAAGCCAGCACACTGAGTTTCTGCTGAGATGTTCTAAAACAGCAAAACAAGTATGTATTTACCTTTGATCTAAAATGGACTAAATAATTTTTTTTTTTTTTTTTGAGTTGGAGTCTCACTCTGTCACCCAGACTGGAGTGTAGTGGCCGCTCCCGGTCACTGCAGCCTCGACCTGCTGGGCTCTGGCGATCCTTTCGCCTCAGCCTTCCGAGTAGCCGGAATTACAGGCACGCGCTACCAGGCCCAGCTAATTTTTTTTATTTTATTGTAGAGATGAGGTCTCGCCTGCCCAGGCGGATCTTGAACCCGCGGGCTCAGGCAATCGGACTAAATAATTTAAGGCTGATTATATTCACTTAAATGTTAATACTTCACTGCTTCAGGTATGACAAGTTGCACACAGAAAACATATCTAAGAGCATAGTTGCAAAATTTTTAATTGAGTTAAGATTCTTAGTAAATTCACCCAAATGTACACTTTTTTTTTTGAGTCGGGGTCTCACTGTGTCACCCAGTGGAATACAGTCGTACAATCATCGCTCACCACAGCCTCAACTTACTGGGCTCAAGCGATTCTTCTGCCTCAGCCTCCTCAGTAGCTGGGTCTATAGGAGTGTGCCACCAAGTCTGTCTAATTTTTTTATTTTTTGCAGAGACAAGGTCTCGCTATGTTGCCCAGGCTGGTCTCAAACTCCTGAGCTCAAGCAATCTTCTCACCTTGGCCACCCAAAGTACTGGTATTACAGGTGTGAACCACACTATTCCCAGCCCTAAATGTACACAAATTTTAAAGAAACAGCAATATAACTGGAAAAACTATAATACGTTCTTATAATACGCCCTTTTTGGCATCTACTTGAATTCTTCCAACGCGAAAGCTCACATATACACGATGGAATATTACGTAGCCATAAAGAAGGACAAAATCATGGACTTTGCAGCAAACTGGATGGAGTTAGAGACAATCATACTTAGAGATCTATCACAGAAACAAAGAACCGAATACCACATATTCTCATTCATAAACGGGACCTGAACATTAATCACAATAGCACAAGGGAGGGATCAGCAGTCACGGGACACTGCCAAGGGAAGTGGGCATATAATAACACAAAGCGTAACTAGTCCTAAACCAGGGGAAGTGAGGACCAGTTGGAGGCCCAAACGTCATCTGTATGTAGATGACTTGTGTACCTAATCCTGACTTGTACCCCCACATCTTTATAAGAAAGTAAAACAAAACAACAAAACCGAAAAAAGAAAAAAAAACCAAAAACCTATTGCCCAGACTTGTCCTTAGCTCACCCTGAATGAAGCTGCCAAGGCACTGCCTCTCCTCCTGCTTCTGAGCCCATCACTTTCCTCCACAGGGTCTGAAGGTACCACCTACGCCAGCTTCTAAAGGGCCGAGTCAGATGTCAGACATGTCTGAGATTTGGAGATTTCTGCAATCCAACCTCAGTTTCTCATTATGCAACGAAGGGCAGTCATGCTTGATACATTGCAGCCAGAATGACTCTTCTGCACTGCTAATCTGAGTGGATCATTCTGCAATTTAGGAAAAACACTTCAACAATTACCATTACCTTAGGGTAACTAAGTGAAGGTACCTAACCCTTTAGCCTTTCCTTCTCATCTAGTGGGTTCTTTTAAGGCCTGGCTCTGGAGAATTGGTGCAAGGAGCAAGCTGCTACTAGAGCTGGGGCTTTTCTGAATGAGAATACTGCTGCCAGCCACAAAGAAAGATGACTTTTCTTTAAAAAGTTCATTACAAAGAATAAGCAGAATTACGCATTACATGCTATTGCCAAGGGGCACATTGTCTATGGAGCAGATGGGCCTTATTTTTCTAGTCATTTAAAATAATGACAGCTACTAACTCTTTTAAATAAACCAACAACCCCGCCTAAAAACAAACATGTTCTTCTGCCTTTTTCCACCTCTGAGCAAAGGCCCAGCATCTGATGTTTTTATTTTGCTTCTCCCAGATAAGGAGAGATGATATCTGCATTATTGCCATTTCATAGAGTGTTGACCTTTCCTTTGGTTCTGAAAGGTTTATTGTTTCCACACAATGGTTTATCATTTTTTAATTCTAGAAAGTAGCATGTAATTCAGCAGTTATACATTATAGTTAGCAGTAATTGGTTTAAAATTTATTATAAAATACTATTTCTAAATAGATGAACTAAAATATGCCTATGTGATATAAACAGCAATAAACACTAATAATAATTTTTTAGAAACCCTCCAAGATTTAACCTCAAAGATTTTAGATGGAAGAATCAGGCAAACATTGAAATAGCCCACATTTTATAAAACTAATTAATCCTGCTTCTCCTAGAAGGAAAAAAAAAAGTTTAGTCATTTGCCATATGTAAGCTTTAGGATGACTTATGAACCTAGTAAAATCTTTATGCCTTCTAAATGGATCACTTATGTATTTGAAATAACAGAGGTAATGTTTCCTCTTCAGTACAAGTCCAGGAAAACTGCACCACAAAATGTATTTTAAAATAAGCCAGAGTTTATCTACTCAGAAACAACCCTTAAAATAAACAGATGGCAATGGGAATAGGAAACGACAGTGCTACCATTTAAAAATGTTTGACTTAGCCTGGCTCAGTGGCTCAGCCTGTAATCCCGGGCTTTGGGAGGCTGAGGTGAGTGGATTGCCTGAGCCCGCAGGTTCGAGACCCGCCTGGGCAACTTGGCGAGACCTCATCTCCACAATAAATCAAAAAATTCGCCGGCGTGGTAGCACGTGCCTGTAGTTCCAGCTACTTGGAAGGCTGAGGCGGCAGAATTGCCAGAGCCCAGCAGGTCGAGGCTGAGGTGGCCAGGAGCGGCCATTGTACTCCAGTCTGGACGACAGAGTGAGACTCCAACTCAAAAAAAAAACAAACTTTGATTTGCTAGTGGAGAAACTGTAATTTTGAATTTTTGTCATAAAAATGTAACAAACCTGTGTTAATTACTATAAAGATATTGGTTTCTTTTGAAAACTAAACACATTTGGTAAAATCTACAGAGGTAAAATAAGACTCTTGCCAATTTAGACTGAGCATATCAAGGTGGCATTTTATACAGAGAAGAATAATATTGTTAACTAGCCTCATTCACAACATACTGCTGTGAATAAAGCCTCCATGGCAAGGAAGACATTCTGGAATCTGGGACTGTGTTGTGTGGGCATGGATGATTATACTTGAGAGATATAAAGAACCCTGAAGTAGCGTATAGAAGTGGGGGCAGACTAAGGGAAGAGGCTTGGATAGAGGGGGTCAAAATCCATCTTGTGTTTGTATTTGTTTTTGAATTGGGATCTCACTCTGTCACCCAGACTGGAGTGCAATGGTACTATCACAACTCACCACAGCCTTAACCTTCTGGGTTTAAGCAATGTTTCTGCCTCAGCTTCACAAGAATCTGGGGAGTAGCAGGCATGTGCCACCATTCCTAGCTAATTTTTAATTTTCTTCTAGAGAGGAGGTCTCACTATGTTGCCCAGACTAGTCTTGAACTCCTGAGCTCAAGCAATTCTCCTACCTCAGCCTCCCAAAGTGCTGGGATTACAGGCATGAGCCACCGCGCCTGGCCTATCTTCTGTTTTTTAATGCTAAATAAATTATTCACAACCTCAATATGATCATCACCAGTTTTAGTGTGTACCGTTCTAATTTTTTTCCATATGATGCCACTTAGAATAAGATTAGCTGCCACTTATTGGATGATTTCTTTGTACCAGGCACCATACTAAGTATATTACAGGCATAACTTCACTTAACTTTCACAACAAATCTCTGAGGTATTGTCATCTGCACAACACTGATGAGAAAACTAGGCTCAAAGAGGTGAAGTTGGTTGCCTAAGATGACAAAAGTGATGAATTTTCAGCTCAGATATTTCTAACTTGAAGTTCTTTCAAGACTCTGTCTTTCAACTATACTTTGAGATACCCTAGGTGTCTTTCAGTTACAGTAAATATAATTTTATAACCTGAATTTTATCCATTACCTTGCTGATATATTTCTTTTATTGACATTGTCCATGTGATGACATAAACTTCACAACTGCCTTTTAAATTTCCTGACCCCTACTATTGAACGTTTACTTTGCTACTATTTTTTTCACCACTTTTCATAACGTCATAATAAACAGCTTTCTGCTTTTACTTTTTCTTCAGCATGGATCATTTTTCTAAATAAAAAATATTCCAGGACTCTGAATAGTTTAACGGACTCTGCTATGTATTTTCTAATTGGTCTCCAAGAGGATACTACAGATTTACACTCCCAGTGAGCATAGGAGAATACATAAAGTATCCCACATGCATGCAAAAACGATAG